GACAGTTTGTTAATTTCCATGAAGCAGGTACTGTAAATAATTTACCAGAGCATGTGCATCAGTGATGAATATTAAAACTGTTCCAGTAGAAAATTTATTTGTATAAAATACTCTCTCTGCAAAAAATAGCCAAATGGACATGGGCAATATGTATTTTTAAAGTGTTAACTGTATTGTGCCACCAACTGAATTAGACAGTCTCTTGTTAAAGGAATATTTCTGTAGCATGAAATAGAAGCCACAGCCTAAGCACCCAATAATTAGGCATTTTGTGGTGGTGGCCACAGTAGTTTCAAATGGACCTACTGATCCAAAAAGGACTGGTGAGTTAAATTGTCTCCCCGCCTCCCCCGGCCTGTCACTGTAGTGGCCAGTATTCATCCTTTTCTGCATTTCCATTGTATTCTAAAGTCATAGTTTTATTGTAAGGTAACAATTAGCCAGTATGCAACAGACATTAATACTAACATGGTACATACAGTAATACTGCAAGAGCAAGGTAGTGTAATACCGTATTTATCGCTCTGTTTTTTGCACCTGACCATAAGACGCACCTAGTTTTTAGAGGAGGGATCCATGGAAAGCTTTCTGATAATCACAGGCACATTCCCCATCACTTCCCCATGGGCTTCATTAAAGGACGGGTTGCCATTTGAAAACACACACTGACCTGTGATTAACAGCTCTCACCTGCACTGGAGGAGGGGGGCGGAGCAGGGCACGCTGAGCACGTGCCGGCCAGGTGTGGTGCAGCCAGGCCGGCAGCATGCCGGCGGTGGTCTTCCGGGTGGCGTGGCGGCAGGTCTTCCCGAGCGGTGGGGGTGAGCACTCCGTCTCTCCGTGCGGCCAGTGGGTTAAAGCCCGTGGCTCCTCCTCTGCACTGCTCCCCCTGAGCGGCAGAGCTCTCACCTATGCCGGAGGGGAGGGGGTGGAGCAGCGTGCGCTGAGCGCATGCCGGCCAGGTGGCCCCACGTGGTGCCGGCGGGCCGGCAGCGTCCCGGGCGTCGGGCACACACACATTTGCTCTATAAGACACACAGACATTTCCCCTTACTTTTGAGGAGGGAAAAGTGTGTCTTATACAGCAAAAAATACGGTATTTCATATTTGTTCTTTAGCCGTTGCAGTCTATTGTAGGGCTAACACAAGGAGTTTTGCTCTTCTAAATGTTACCTGTGCATTGGCATCAATTACTTAAACACATTTTTTCTAGGAAAGATATTTCCCTCACTAAATCTATCCAATATACCTTATTCAGGATATTGCATTCAAGGACAAAATAAGTAACATTATTTGATAAATAATTTCTGAAACAAACCACACCTTTCTTAGGGATGCCCTATTTGCTAAGGGAGGAACATTTAAATGTGCCTAAGAGACAACTCTTCTCATTTTCGAATTTGGTAAATCAACCAAATCTTTTGGAAATACATCTCGTACATGATGACAAGGAGTTAAACAGACATATAACTTAATAGAAGTGTAGCTTGCAATGTTTGGTTATTTGAGACTGCACATCAGTATCTCAGCTGGGTTTATCATGGCTTAGGGATAGAAAGAATATTAAAAAGCCCATATTCAACATCTTCATGAGGATCTTTTGTTTTCATGAAGTTAAACCCACCTCAGACTGCAACCAGTGTAATTTCAGGTGCTATTTGAAAATAAGCTTTAGTCAAAAGACCAAGGCTAATTTAAGCATGTAAGCCTTTGCCACCATTACACCTAATTCAGCATGTATTGTCTCTGGTTAACATAATCTGGACCTGAAAGGCGTCTCCATAGATTCCACTGTAGATTTGACTTCCAGTGTATTCCCACCTGTTTTCTATGAAGCTGCCTAGTTCTTGTGCCTAAGCTCAGCAATAGAATACATACATTGTAACCAGAAGATCCAGATTCATTTCCAGTATTTTCAGTTACAGGGTAGCAGGTGGTAGTAAAAGTTACTGGGTAGGGATGTAAATGATATCGGAGAGCTGTTCGCGGTTAAAATAAGCATTATTCAGCAAGATGGATCAGTGATCTGTCTCAGTAATATAAGGCAACTTCTTATATTCTTTTATTCTAACAAGGCTTGTGTCTGTGTCCCATAGTGGTATGTTGATGTGAATTTAGAAATAATGTAATAGCTTGTGAAACTTGTTATGATAATCAAATGAAAGTGAAACAAAATGATATGAAAGACACAGCCTGAATCAGTTCTCTTAATTTTATGGAGTTAACCCCATTTATTTCACAATTTATTCACCAATTCAAATGATTTGGTGAATATTTTCAGGACTAACTTGTTGGCAGAGTTGGTTTTCTGAGCTCACAATCATTTTAGCTACAAACGCTGTGAGATTAAATAAAGGGAAATTAATAAGAAGTGCCACAGTAGTAATATCTGGGCACTAATAATTATAGCATTTCCTGTTCTTGTGACATGGAGAGCCAATTGGAGTATGTTAAGAGAATTCCAGAATTAGGCCAGTTGGCGTATGTTAAGAGAGAACTTGTTTGTGGTTTGGACAAATGTTTTTGTTGTTGTTTTATAAAAGATTGGAATTACCTAGGTGCTTGTCCATATGAAACTAGTCTGTTCATTTGCCATTAATGTCAGCCAGAACTTGGGAGAAGGTTTTCCCGCTACTGATACTGTTCCAACAAACCAAAGCAATAGTGTTAATCAGATACCTGATGCCCTTCTGTAGTTTATGACCCCTCAAGAGTACAAGGAGAGCTCTGCAGGTTCTGGTGACTGCATTCTAGCACAGTATTAAAAACTACACTCAGGAGTAGGTGTACTGCTACCTTTAATAAATCAGACCAGCTCGATCAGGGTCTCTGCTGCCCAGCAAGCATGGTCGGTGCCAGGATGGATTTTATTTGAATCAAATTGATCTAAATCATGATTTAAATTACTAGACGATAAGACTAGATTTAGATCATAGTTTTCTATATAATTTGCATGCATGTATGCCTTACTCAGAGGTAGAGAAGCTTCATGAAAATATTCCCTAATTGGGTCTTTTTTCATGTCCTGCTGCCATTATCGGATTTCTCCAGGAAAAAACAATATGATACGCAAAAAGATCCAAAGACTTGTAGAGTATTCTGATCAGAAGATTTCACTTTCCACTTTTACTGTTTGCCCCTCCCTCCTCACACTTAGCTTCTTGTGTGGATCTATCCTGCTCCCAATAATCTTCTTCTATTCATTGAACTTTTCTGAAACTTGGCACTTAAGAGGCATGGGGCTGATTCTGTGTACATAGATTTGCAAAGGAACAATAGGATTGAGGTCTTTTTCCTCAAGTCTGTTTATTTTATAACATTTTTTTTCTGTGAAGAACAGGCATGTGATATCTGCAGACACAAAATCATAGTTTGAAGTACTGTAAAAATTGCCCAGTGATGTTACAAAAACCTCTGGAAGAGCATGTCATTATGAATGAATTGCTCTAGTTTATTTACGAGAAAATTTAAACATTGCATGAATATACAGCCTCAAGCTACATAAAACCAGTCCTTATTTTATGATGCGTCACCTTTGGACTACAATGTATCTTAAACAGAAAATTAGATAGATCTTTTTTCTGCAAAAAGCATTTAATTAATTAATTAGAAATTCAATTTAAATTTTTACAAATTTTTTTTTCATTTGTTTTTATCCTCCCTTGCTCAGTGCATCTGCACACCTGATTCTGTGTTGGAGGAATGGGCCTGGACATCTTTGATAGGCCAAGGAACTTTCACGTTACTGTAATGCTGCTCCTCACTGTCCGATTCATAGCTGATTCTTTGAAGCAATCTTCCACAGTTCAATCTTGTGGAAAGTTGGCTACCTAACCGCTTAAGGCCATCACCGCCATGTTATCCCTTTCACATGTGGGGAGCAGCTTGCCCTGCCCATCTTTTCTCCCAGCTTAGATCAGAGACTGTCTCCAACCAACTTGCTACAAGCAGCCTGCCAAGGAATTCTTTATATTAGCTACATGACCATATCTTCACAGCATAGTAGCAGTGCTGTGGACAGATTAAAAAATGATGCATTTATTTATTCAGGTGTGTCAAACTTTGTAGGGGCCAGTTTCCATCCCTTGAACCCACTGGGGGCAATATCCTCCATTGCTGCTGAATTTTGGTGACAGTTCAGTGATGAGACACATGCCTTATTTCTCCTCTTAAGTGAAGAAGCATGGGGAAGACATGTGTTAATGGTTGTGGAATCCCCAGAAGAATGCAAATTTTCATTCAGGCAAGGGGTATATTCGCTACACATATTGTTTCAAAGTGGAAATGCAGCTTCTTCTCTTGCTATCATGGTGAAACTAAAAAGAGTCATGCTGCCCCACAAGAGCCCATCTAGCCCAGCATTCTGTTCACACAGAATGTGGGTTCCCATGAGTTAACAAGATGCCCGTAGGAACCTGCAAACAGGACACAAGCATAGCAGCACCTTCCTGCCCATGTTCCCCAGCAACTGGTGTACATGGGCATTTGCCTCTGAAACTGAATACGCCATGACATTACAGTGGATAAGTGCTGTTCTATTGCCTACTCCAAAGTTTTTGGAGTTAAATGTTACAAATAGGAAGGTTGTTAATAGTATTAATGAATTGCTGGTGCAGGAAAGTTGTGATAAGTTACTATTATTCAGACTAAAATTATATTGCTTAGGTCTGTTTTGAATGGAGAGCAACATGCAAGTGACCAATGGGCATGACAATTTTTTGGAAACAGTAAAAATTGCAGATATGTGAAAAATCTGCCTTAAACAGCATCATCAGAATAGCACTCTGGTATTCAGGAAGGCAAATATATGAAGAAATACATTGAAAAGTTGTGCATGTCTTTAAGAATAGTATATACTGAGTCGCTTGGTGTAGAACCACTTGGTAGACAAAAACAACAGATTTTGGTAATGTTAACACATGCCACAATACATGAAATACTAGACAAATCAATACTTGATATAAAATTAATTTGCAAATTAGTTTCTCTTCTCATTTCAGCTTTACTTTTAGAAGCCCAATCTACGCCTTTTTGGATAAACCCTTCCACAATGGCAAACATTGTCAAAGGACTGTATATGCTTAGGCCAGGTAAATCATCTTTTTCTGAATAGTCTGTCATTTATTTTGTGGTACCATATATTCTTGGAAACCTGATACTTTGTATGAGAACTTGAGTGCACCCCGTGATGAAATAGTGGAACATAGTAACAAGGTGTCTTCTAGTCCTTTCAATTTCTCTTAATTCCTCAAAACAGTGAAATACAGGTTTCAAATCCATGTGTTTTACACTTATGCAACAAATCTCAAGATCGAACTCCAGGATATGTTCTTTAAGTTAAGTTCTAAGGTTGGAGTTGAGCAGTGGCTATTATAAGAGAGTGACAGGGTCAATTGAACACTAGGAATTTATTTAAAATTATTTTAAGAGTAAAATCAGTATTTAAACGTTGGGCTTCAGCATGTCAGGTTGTGTGTTGACTTTGATATTAAGGATTTGTGCTGCCTGAAGAGGATATAATTTGTTGTTTTTTAGCGAGACTCTGTCCAATCAGTAAAACTCTATTCTAATTCTTCCTTAAAACTTACATGTGCAACTGGTAATTTTATTTTTTTGCCAGTCTGGAGCAAAAAAAAAATCCACCTGGTAAATCTCCTAAATTCAACATGATCAATTTTATATTTGCTCTCTCTTCGCCTCCCACTGTAAATTTAAAAAGTGAGCAAATACAACTGTTTGAATATTATTTGTGCAATTTGTCAAATAATTTCATCTGGTGAAATAGTGGTGACAGAACATGTGATAAGTAGAACATGTAATAACTTTTTCCATAGTAAAAGTGAGTTTTGTTGATTTATAATAAAGAATTTTTAGTTAAAGTCCATATATTTTCCCTGTTGTTTCCTGTCATTGTATGAGGTTATAATGCCGGGGGTGGGGGGGAGACTTAAGTGCATTAATTTCTTGACTTGATTTGCACGTGGTTTTTTTTAATAAGGCATATGTACAACAAACAGGATGATACCATTTTGTATATTTTTCTCCCTGCACTGAGTAGGCTTTTAATAAAAAAGATCTTCAGTTGAGTCATATGAAATGCTGATATATTTGTAAGCAAATAGAGAGAAAATAATTTGAGCAGGTGTCTAGTTCTGCATCTGAGACAACCTTAATTAGGTCATTGAATTTATGCATAGGGTATATCATTGGTTGCTTTGTAATTTGTGGCATGAGAAAGTCCAGGCAAAATCTGGCAGTACAGTTTGTTTTTTTGTTTGCTGGTTGGCCGCTGTGTGAAAGGGTGTTTGACTAGAAAAACCCTTGATCTAATCCAGCATGGCTTTTCTTATGATCTTATGTCTTGTGTATACCTTTATCCAGGGTATATGTGTGCCACAATATGTGGGCTTTCATTTGATACCTAGAGTGGTATCTTTGGAGTATGTTTCCATAACACAGTCTGCTGGTAAATGTGCCTCATTTTGTGTTCAGGTCTCTCTACACACTATATTTGAGGCAGATGCCAGACATTAGATCAGTCCATTAATTTCAAGATACAAAGATTAAACTTTTTACACTTACGTTCCAAACATTTGTAACCTACCAGGGTGCTACCCAACTGCCATTTTTCCTTGCATATTTAATATATATTTCATTAAATCTAGTGACCTGGAGCATTCAAGGTGGTCTTCTATGAAGATTCTCATTTAGTATGTAGCAATATTACATTTTACTCATATTTAAATATAAAGCTTGTTACTGGGATTTCATAGAGCTGCCATATGATCTAATAGCTGCACATATATATGTGCATGAGGGGAGGGAAGGCACACACAAACTTCGTAACATCTGCGAAACCACTTCAGTTTAGTTTATTTCATTGCATTTGCTTTCCATTTCCACACAGAATGGGTACAGATGGCACCAGCTTTGTTTTCCAAATTTATCCCGAACATCCTCCCTCCTGCTGTAGAAGCTCAGCTTGAGGAATATGCTGCACAAGACCAGAAACTTCAACAAGAACTTATTCAGGAGGGATTTTCCAGGTAATAGCCCTTGTGTCTTAAAATTTTGGGCCTAGGGCTTATTATATCTCACTACTCAAATTGTTTTTTGGGTATCTATATATTCGGCACTCGATATCACAAATCTCTTAAAGTGCTCAGCAGGAAAAAACCTCTTATCTCCAGGGGTGAGAGCATTCTCCTAGAAGAGAGGTAATGGGCAGGGGAAGAAGCTGATGGGCTGCATGCGCAACCATGCCTACTCTCAGCAAAGCAGAAAAATTAAGCAATAGGGGTTTTTCCCCTAACATTTGTTAAATTGTCTTTATGAAGTTTGGTACCCTCATGACCTTGGTTTATATAGTGCCTAAAACCACAAACTTGAGCATATTACAAAATATTGCAAATACAGAACAATTTTCCTACAGGTATAGCAGGTATAGCATTCAAAGAACCACTGCAGTTACTACAGCACACGTCATAGGAAAGTGGCAAGTGTCTGTCTATAATTGCTTTAAGAAAGTTTATGGTTCTGTTTGTGTGCTAATCAAATAATTACCCAGTTGGATACTATGCTACAGGGTTTTTACATGGCACAGCGCATCCAAGATACGAGTATTTTTGAGATATATATATTGTCCCTGTTTGTCAGAAGTCTATAATTCCTGATTAAAAAATACTTTTTGTACAAAGAGATGGTATTTGTTTCATGTTACTACTAGCCAATTTCTCTGTCACAGTGCTATCTGTTTATATTAGTTAGGAAACAGCAATTTACTAGATAATCTAAATATGACCAACAGTTTTTGTACAGAGAAAATTAGTGAGGATGGTTTTCAGTATTCCTTTTGAATGTTGAAATGGAGGAGTGATTGAAAACCGTAACTTTTTTGTGTTCTCAAACTGTTTCTCTTCCAATGTACACCATAAATGGTATTATTTGAACGCTTTCAGCTGTGCAGGATGACTGTATGTTTCTTGCCTGCCAGTAGAAAACATGTGAAATTACATCTAATCACTTAAATCTTGAAATTTGATTAAGCTTTTTGTTTCATTTTAGTTTAGAATTCTAAATTGCTTTTCCCTGGTGACCTTTGGTAAATTAAGCCAAGATTTAGCACTGGCAACTTTCCAGGGGATAAATTATCTACAGATAGGTCACTTATAGTAGAAAATAGTTTAACTATGATTCATAAATTTATTAAAAGAACTTTTATTTTGCCATCCAGTGATGATGCACAGAATGGAAGAGGACATTTGTTTTGACAGTTATCAGGCTACTTTTTGTTCAAGGCAGAAATACCAAATGGAGTTCTCATGATAGCAAAAATGTAGCTAATAAACTAGATGGCCATTCTTTAATACTTACTATTTATTTCATTTCTGAATTGTCCAGTAGCCAAGCTTTCTGTGTGGTTTACAACATTTGCTATCCTTTAAACAGTATCTTAAAATTTGCTGTTGAAGGCTATCCTTCTGTACCTAATAGCATGATTTTGGACTATGTCATTACATGTTTTCCATCCATGCTGGGATGAAGCTGCTATCTCCCTCTGAAATGAAGCTACCATATTTTCCAACATCGTGTTAGATTTTCGGTGGAATTCCTGCTACTTTGTAGTTATGTCTCATACTACATTGATACTGAGCACATTGCATGGAATGGATGGATTATGTCATTCCCCTTGCGCCCCCACCCCCCAGTGTTACTTAAAGTGGAGGAGATGAGCTAGTATAGGAAGTAAATATATTGCTTGTCCATTCTGTGTTCCTTGCTTCAGACCTTACTAGTGTGTGGCAATATTGATGCAGAAATGGTATTCTGCCTCTCAGGTAATGCAAAAAATGGCTGTAAATATTAGAAACAAGGCTTGTCCTTTTTGCAGGTTTCATTTATTTCATACATTTTACCTTTGGATCACCTGTATTGCTACTCTTGAAGGTCTGTACAGATATTCTTAAACAGGTATTCTAAGCTGTTTTAAAGTCTTGGATTTTAAAGTCTAGGCTGACATCAGGCTTCATGTTAGCTTTTGGTAATTCCTTCCCTGCACCTTTGTTGTTTTAGAGGTGACCAGTCACGTAAAAGAGCTGGAGAAGAATTAACTTACAGTAAGTAACTTAAAGTGTTAGAGTTATTTTAATAATAATACATCCTGCTTTACAGTGAGGTATTCAACTTTAGGATGCGGTAGGACTCTCCTTAGTAGAATGTACAAACATGTTATTATTCAGGGAGTTGTTAACTTAGTGTGGGACGGTTGAAATGATCCATTTAGTGAGAGACAAACCTGTTTTCAGTGTACCACAATTGAATAGATACCCTGCCAACAAGGTCCACCCAGACTGCCTAAGGGACCAAGTGAACTTGCAGGTCCATTGTACAGAGCAGCTAGATGAGCCATCTTTGATGCTTCTGGCTTATGCAAGCATTCCTATATGTTATGCAATATGGCTTTCGGGATGTATGATTCAGCTGCAATCAACATACCTTGTCTAGCTTATAAGAAATATGTTTTCAATTTCTTGGGTCATTTTTACACATGGTAGGGTAATGGATGTTTTGTTTTGAGAAATATAGGACCCCAAAGGAGAGGATGCTTTAAATAGTTTTCTCTTGACTTTTTCAGATGGTTCATCATCATGTGCAAGCTCAAGAGGATGCAGATAGTGACTATATTAGAAGTATTTTATTCCCAATAGGAGGAGACACTGAAGCAGTGTTGGAAGGGAGAATATCCTGAGGCTTGGTTCAGCTCTACTGATACTCAGGTTCTTTGATGCAAACTATACCTAGAAGAGGAGTTTGGACTTATTTCTTGCCATGTAATAAAATATCTGTTTGCTGCTATTTTGGGGCTAAGTTGGAACAGTGTGATTGGTCTTGACAAGTTCTTCTTTGGCAATTCTGTAAGGAATATACCTTCTCTGTTTGGGGAAAAAAAAAGATACTTACTGAATCTTGATAGCCAAAAAGAGCAGCTTCCTCTGAAAGAAACTTTTGCACTTTTTAAAAAAATGTGTGGATATTGCTGAGTTAAAAGTCTGTTCCCATTAGGTTTTGTCCAAAACATTCAATAAATATTGATCACATGGCAGTGTTTTCTTTTTAAAAGCCGTTTGCTCCCAAGAGTCAGTTTAATACAACAGACCCTGTACATTCCAGATATGGTTCATCTGTTAAGCTCTTTCTGCTTTACAGACTCCAAAAAGTCTCTTAAACTGTGATTTGTTTACACATGCTGCAAAGTTACAAGATCTTCCTACTATTCTTAATTACATTTAGGAAAATAAGTGTATGAAAACAATACTTTGTTCCCTTTTCCATATAAGAAGTATTAATACAAGTCTAAACATTGATACTGTTTTTTGGCTCTGGTCATGATTGGAGAGAAACAGAATGCCATTCCAACATGTGATGCCTATTGAGAGTTGACAGGCTAATATGCAACAGTTGAAGGATTTGGCAAGAGATGGGAGACCAGTCTGTGGTCTGCTGTCTGAGTCTGTGGAGTATAGAGAGAGATTTGCTCTGATCTTAGGTAATCAGTTACTGGAATACTTTGGACCGATATGAAAGATTTAAGAATTTGGCTGAATCTTTGTACTTGGAGCTTACCTCTGGGCATCAAGGTACTTGAAGTCACTGTTAATACACTTTTTGCTTACAGCATTTCAGAAGGCAAGTAGAATTGCATATTTGATTCAACTTTTCTTTAAAGAAATCTCAACTCTGCTATAGCTTGAATATAAGTTCTTAGCAATGTGCAGTAGTCTGCACTGCATTGTGTGTATCAGTTTATCTCCAGCAATATGTACCTCATAAGGGATGAATCTGGATCCCAGCTTCCTCTTTCTGGTCTTGGATCAGAAGCTAATCACAAGGTGCTATTTTTCATGTGTTCTCTGTGAAGAAGCACCAGGCATGTGGAAAATATATAGGGGATTTTCTTTCTTCTGTGGATAACTTTGCCACTGAGTTAATAAAGCCAAACTGTATGCAGCTGTGGTGAGATGTTAGTACTCAGGAGAAGCCCAGCTTGAATAAGTATTTAATGTAAGTCTTATGACCAAGCAATGCTGGGGAGGGGAAACACTTGCATGTGTTCCCCACTGTTGGTCACTGGGCCCTGCTTAGTTATGTGGTCCACAGAGAACTGTACACAGTTTTAAAATGTTGCAAAGGACTTAGTTGTATCTATGGTGTGAAAGTGAAAGCACTATATTAAATAATAAAATGTATACTTGAAAGCCTATTGATTAAACAAAACATACAAAACCTTTGCAGTGTCAAGATCTGAATCTTTGGTTTGGTTAGAAACTGATGAATCACTTCAACAAAAAGATACATATAGGCAAGGCACTAAAAAGCTATTCTGTCTATTTTTATATAGGTTGTCCTTTTTCTCTATTGCAGTATAAATGAAGCCCTAGTTCTGCTTTACTAAATTAGTTTACAATTCTCTGCAGAAGTGGAAAAGTCTACTATGATGCTTCATAACTTTTATAATGCTTTGAATGTCCTTGATTTGTGCTTTGAATAAAATATGACAAAATATGTGATGGGAAGTATAACTTTTGAGTAGATTCTGTTAAGGAAACTTCTGATTTGCTTCAGAAACAGGACCACTTGTAGTATAATAGTTAATGGTTTCATCCCCATGACAATGGATAATGTAAGCAGTGGGTGGTGTAATCCCTTTCAGTGTCCATAAATAGGTATTTGTAAATTGAGTTCTCAGTTCACAGTTGTGATGAACAGGAATAGTCTGACTATTAGATTTGTATCAACACAATTTACTGGCTCTTAGAAGGCAGTCCATCCAAACACCTGATTTGCCTTTGCAGTCAGTGTTCACATGGAGCCATCCTCATGAAATTACTGTGTTGAGTATTAGTGATAAGATGGGGAGGCTGGTGCCTGCTGTGTTAATGGGGTTCCCTGTCCATTGTAGTTTTTGTTTTGAGCTGTCCATGTCAGAATAAATGGATAAAGAGCCCCACTGACATAAGAATCACCAGCCTGTTCATTATTATTATATTTTTATACCCTCCAGGACCTGCAATATTCTGAGCAGTTCATAGAGGTTAACACTTTAAAATACATTACAAAAACTTTTACATATGGACACATAAACAGATGCACAATGTATCCCTGCGTTAGTGTGGATGTATTTGTATGATTGCTATTAACACCAATTCATGTATATGCTTCTGGATAGGGGAAGCTGGGTTAGAAAAATGTGTGCACTGTTTAGTAAGGGCCATTAAAAGAAATCAAAGGAAGCAAAGCTCTGATTATCTTTTGATATAAAAGATAGTTAAAGTATTTTTCTTTTTATTTATTTGTTGGGGAGATTAATGATTAGAACTTGCTACATCCATGGAACTCCTGAAGTAACATTCTCTCCAGTTTTCTCCCTTGCAAGCTTTAGGTACATGGCACAGGATGGCTAAACTTACAACTATTGCAGCATATTTGAATTTGCTTGGGAGTGAGAAGGAATACAGCTTGGGTGCATGGAACACCATGTCTTCATTCACTTCATGGACACCAGAACACTTTTGCAGGCAGGGAGACCTGGAAGTAGGAAGCCTATTACGCTGCTTGCCCCTGTTAATGCACCCAGTACTTGGTCAGAAACCCTTACCTTGTACAGATCACTTGCTTGGACGGTAAAAGATCAGATCGTCCCTCCTCTGGTTACTTTCAGAATGTTCCTATGCATAGTGCAAGGGTTCTGAAACCTGTTTTGGAGACTACAGAATAATAGGTTGATAATGATGACCAGTGATACCCTTGCTTCCAAGAGCTCTGCTTCTTGGCTTGCCTTTGTCCTGTGGTTCAGAGATGGGCCAACAGCAAAAAAAATGTGCTTCAGTTGGCTAGCATTCACAAGAGAAGTTTCACTGTAGTTGAAAGGTCCAGGGGTCTTGTGTAAGTTTGTCTCTGAGTGATATAATAGTTGTCTGCTCATAAAGACTATATAGTTAATCATTTTGCCCTCTTGAGTGTATCCATGTGGTATGTCCAGGCAACAAGAACATGCGTGAGTATTCCTGGCGGCTGGCCCATAGCAATTGAGTTTTCTTCTCGTGAGCTTGACTGTATTTGGGAAGAATTTGTATTTGGGTTGGCTTCTGGTTATGCTGTTACAGTTTAGAATCAAATTCCAGTTCATGTTTCGTTGTAATCAGAACTACCAGAATCAAACAGATGGGATAGAATGGAAATTAAAAATTAAACGTTCCTTTCATTTTTATTTTTGTGCAACTTTCATTGTGTTGGGCTTCTTTTTCCTACTTTGTTTTTACTGGTTTGAAGTCTGTAAATAATCTATTGAACACATAGTGTCTATATCCAATTTTATTGGTGTCTTTGAATGTTGAGCCATAGGACATAACCTCTGAAACTCTTGTCCTTTGCAGTTAGGACAAAAGCATTCCTTTAATGTGGTCAATGTTCTACACATACTTTAAAATGTTTTAGCCCTATGTAGCATCCTGCCTGAATAGGAAGCCTGAGAACTTTTGTAAACAATAAAAATTAAACAATGTTGTATTATGTTGTAAATTAGTATTAATATTTCTGTATGTTTTGGCATTTAATGCTGAAATCATTTGTTCTCCTATCTTCAAAGGGTTTTATCTTTGTGAACTGAGCATGAAAGAACACAACAAAACATATGAAACAATGGTTACTCTGTAAACATTTTTCTTCAAAACTTGGTGAAATGGTGGGTCAGGCCCCTAATGCCATGACTTTAACCAAAGCAGCATGGTCTTGGCTATGGTGCTTCTGTGAATCAGGTGATTCGCCACTTGTCTGTATTTGTTTTTTCCACATGAGATCTAAGTAGCAGAGTTTATGCATTGGGTATCATCTTATGTATCCAATTTGTTTCCTGGGAAACTTGCTCTAATAAAGTATTTTTAGACAAAAGTTTTGGCTCTGAGTATTCTTTAAGTTGCATCCACTGACCATCCTAGCCCACATGATTGAGAGACAAAGTATAGTATTGTTGCAAGGGCACATGGTAAATTTTAAATGCTGGGAGTCCTGCACCAGGCACGGAGGTTTTTAAGGCACTAGCCTTTTTGGAGGATGATTCCATAATAATCTAAGGCACTTACTGGGTTAATTTGAATCCTCAGTCCCAGATCTGTTGTGCTTGTACACACAAAGAAAATTATGCTGAGTTGCACCTTTTTTGTAGAGTCAGTGTGAGAGTTGTAGCTTGTTCAAACATGGTTCTGGTGTAAGCAAATTGTCAGCATATGACTCTCCTACTAAAACAATGGGGACATAAATCACCTACTATGGTTTAAGGATAAATGACAGCCAAGAAGAGGGCTTTGCAAATATGATCTTTTGATTTGCATTTCTAGATGTCCCCCCTCCTTTTTAGTCTATTTGATAAGATTAATGCTAGTTTACATTAGCATATCATACTTAAAACATTACACAAAGTTTTAAGTCACTGTACTGCCAATCCTGACTTGTATATTTTTCTTCCTCTATAAGAGCCCTCAAAATTATTTAACTTCTATACTGCCCAAAAGATGAAACTCTGAGTGGTTCACAAAAATCCATTAAAACACAATATAAAATGCACAACAGGACAAAATCAGGAAAATTGCCATACAAAAAAATAAAACCACATTTAAAACACAATTTGAATAGATTAATCAGGTTCCATCAGGTTTTATCTTGCTTAAACAACTAACAACACCCTAACCAATGGGTGGGTGAAGGAGGTTTTGGCACCAAAAAGTAAGGTTGCTGCCAAGCGCATCTCGGTGAGGAGCTTGTTCCGTAAAGGGGCGGGGGGGACACTGTAAAAGTCCTGCTTACTGACACCAACTGAGCCTCTCCCAGAGATGGCGATCAGTGGCAGGTCACAGAGGTTGATTGGAGTGTCTGATGGACTGTGGAGAGGCATTCTGGTCCCAAGTCATGTAGGGTCTTCATAGGCTAAAATGGGTCCTCAAACTTTTTAAATGGGGCCAGTTCACTGTCCCTCAAACTGTTGGAGGCCGGACTATAGTTTGAAAAAAATATGAATGAATTCCTATGCACACTGCACATTAACAAATTAATTAAAATTACAATAATTAAAAAATTACTTAAAAAACAATTTAAAAATGTTTGCTCCACTCCCTCAGGCTGCAGCAGAAGCCCAATATGAGATGGGGAAGAGCATTTATTTTTGTTCCAAAACCTACCGTTGCAACTGGAAATGAATAAGTTAAAGCTGGGGCAAAAAAAAAAAAAAAAGAAAAAATCTCAGCATATCGAAATAATCTAAGATTTTGAAATAGTGCAAGATAAAGAGCTGCCACTGCTGTGAAAGGAGGATTGGCAATCCCACATATAATAAAATCTTAGGAAGCCTTCCAAGTGTCCTGAACTGTAAGCTTATACAAGTGAACAAGATCCCCGAATGAATTCAAACACAGGGAGTACAGGTAGACCACATGATTAATTCTTATTTATACATACCCAAATTGTTCGAGCATAAAGAACAATTCAAAAGCCTTTTTTCAAGGAAAATATACGAATATGGCATACATATATGAAAACTCTGACACCACCTGTATCTCCATTCTGTCCCTTTTTGGAGCATCCTAAATTGAAATCTCAAGAAGAATATGCACAATTTAGAAGCTGGAAAGAAAGAAGTATTTATAGAATTAGAGATGGATTTGTTCATGGAAAACCAATTTCAATTAGTCACTTAGAAGAAAAGACTACTCAAAAAGTAATGCGTTGCAACTGACTCAAATAAGATATAGGTAACTTCAGGACCTATTAGAACATCCCCAGTGTTAGAAAATTATTGTATGGGGGACACTAATAGTAAAAAAAAAGCTTTAGTCTCAATTTTGTATAAAAGTATTGTAAAAGATGAGAGCACCAGTTACAAAGGAACGAAAACAGTATGGGAAAGGAATTTATTAATATACCACAAAGACTGTGGACAGGAATATGAAAATCAACTATGCGAATCAGTATCAGCAAAATCTGAGGAAATGGTATGGAAGAGAATTCATAGATGGCACTTATTCCCCACAGAACTTCATGAAATAAAAAAACAAATATCAGACATGTGTTGGCAACATTGTGGGGTAAAAGGCTTGCTTGAACGTATGTGGATATCTTGTCCAAAAGTGGAATTATTCAGGAAAGAAGCAATTAGAGAGATCAGCAACAGATGACCTTCTCCGGGAACCCTCTGTGAATGATATTAGGAGGGTGAGTACCCGGAGGAGGGCCTTCTCTGCGGTGGCGCCCCACCTATGGAATGCGCTCCCCAGAGAGGTCCACCTGGTGCCGTCATTATTTGTTTTTTGGCACCAGGCTAAGACCTTTTTATTTAAAACTCATGTTAATTGTTAGTTTATTATTTATTATTTATTTTTTTATTAAAACATTTTTATGCCGCACCATTCGCCGAAGCCTTGGGGCGGCTTACAACAATAAATTAGATCCACATAAATAAAATATATACATTAGAAAAAAAAATACAATATAAAATAAGCCGCCCTGGCCAGATAAAATTCAATAATAGTAACATTTAAAATGCTGCTTAAATAAAAAGGTCTTCGCCTGGCGCCGAAAAACAAATAACGACGGCGCCAGGCGGACCTCTCTGGGGAGCGCATTCCATAACTTAGGCGCCACCGCTGAGAAAGCCCTCCTCCGAGTAACCACCCTCCTAATTTCTTTCACAGAGGGCTCCGGAAGAAGGGCCTCTCCCGCCGATCTCAGGGGGCGGCTGGGCATATATGGATGTAGGTTTTTTTTTTTTTAAATTAAGCCGAGATGCACCGGGTTTTAATATTTTTATTGTATATTTTTTATGTGCTTTTGTTTGTTTTTGTTGTGAGCCGCCCCAAGGCTTTGTTGCGATGGGGGCGGCATAGAAATGTTTTAAATAAGTAAATAAATGGTTAGAAAAGTTAATGCATTTAAAAAACAACAACCAAGAAGATTTGTAATGAAACTCTCCTATTATTGTCCCTCTTTGTGGATGGGAATGAGAATTTAAATAATAAAGAGCGGGTGAGATCCTTATGGGAGCAACAAGATTAGAAATTGGGCACAATTGGAAAGAAGGGCTTCCCCTTTCAGAGATGTTTAGGAAGGGTATGGGAAATTGCACTAATGGAGAAATTGACTAGATGGACTGGAATCCTGAGAAGGGACATGAAAATGGATAATTTCATTAAACTTTGGCACCCCTTACTGACCTTGAATATGGAATCAAATATTGAGATAAATATGCTGGATAACCCTATAGTATATTGGTCTGCTGTTTAGTAAGTGCGTGTGTGTGTATTTTTTACTATCAATTTCTGGAATAGACTTGGAATGGAGATGTAGTTATTGTTATACAAAAATGTATATGCCATAAGTTGATTGTATGTTCTTGTTATTGTTAAGGATTGTCAATTTTTAAAAAAGGAAATGATAGAACAAAAAGATGTATAGGGGATCCTAGGCATGTTTGGAAGAGTTAGGCTGCTGTCTTTGGGCTTTTAGTAGTCTTTCCATTTTATAAAGAACAAGTGGGCTGTGGCTATCTTTGCTTGAAAGTCACACTGGTCCCTCCTAAGTTTTGCTTCTGTAGCTGTCATTACCCTTCTTACAGGAGTTCCAGTTTCAGTGTTAAAACCCACTCCTGAGGTGCAATTTGCTCCTTCTCTGAACTGGGGAGGATTCTATGGATGGTGCACGTTTGAGAAGCTGTTGATAAGTTTTTAAATTCAGACATCAGCCTGCCTCTAGCTGAGCTTAGGTGGAAGAGAAGGAGACATTTATTTTTCCATGACTCTGTTGAGTTTCTACTGCCCCAAAGCTCTTGAGACTGTTCACAATAATGAAAGCCATTAAGTTGAATAGATGGAGTGCAACATGGAAGCTTAAAACCACAGTAAAAATATCAATCAAGCCCAAAAAAACCCTTTGCAGTAATACAAAGGTTAGCACATAGAAGCAGGCTTAAAGCCACAGAAGTTTCCCGGCAAATGCTCTGGGCACCAATCAGTCCTAATATGGATATGCTCAATCAAAGGATGTGGCCTGGCATCCCCCAGCTGCCCCAGTGGGGATCAGGACCTTCATAATGCGAGCAGGCTGGCTCCCACCAGCTCTCTGTGCCCTCACAGAGCTGCCGGTGCTCATGGGTCATAAACCGACCCCTGATAAAAGCCAGGAGTTTCTGAGTCCAAGTACTGGTCCTGAGCCTGAAATCCAGCCCTCTCATGAGCTGAGCTCTCTTGTGGATGTGAATGCTTGGCAATTGTTGCCAAGTGCTGGTTCCGAGCCTGGAATCCAGGCAGGTGAGCGAAGAGCAAAGTGTGGAAGGGGAGACGCACAGGAGGAGATGCCACTGAGGACAAGCTCTCCATGAGATGCCCTGGGGAATTCCGTCAGCCTCACTGGCAGACAGGAAAGCACCTGCAGAGGAGGCAGCGGCAATGGGGGAAGCGAAGCCCCAGCCCTGTGAGGATGGTGTCAGACAGAGTCCTTATTCTGGCCCGAGATCTGGGTGAAGTGTGCAGATCAAATCCGACAGCCAGCACAGCTGAAGACTGCGAGCAAGAATAAAATATTATATTTTTTGATCCAATAAAATAAATACATTTGCCTTCTTATTCATTTAAATAACAATACCAAACTCTGTATTCTTGTAGTACCCTTATTCTTGTTTGGTTGGTTGGTATTTTAATACATGGTTATACTGCTCACTTGCCAAAACTCAGTGCCAGTGTGGTTTAGTGCTTAACAAGGCAGGACTGGGACTCTGGTGATCTGGGTTCTAGTTCCCACTCAACCGTGGGGCCAACTGGGTGACTCTCCAGCCTACCTCACAGGGGTCTTGCTGTGCTGATAAGATTAATGGTGGAGGCCACTTTGAGTCCATTGGGAAATAATAG